TGCAATAGAGGAGCAAAATACGTAAAGAAAAACCTGATAAAACTGAAAGAAGAAACAGAAAAAGTGAGAATTGCAGTTGGACACATCAATACTCTTCTGTTAACAATAAATAGAAGAATTGGACAGAAAAAATATAGACAAGTTAATAACACTATCAGCTATCAGGGGAATCTAAACAACATTTATAGAACACATCACCCAACCACAACAGTATAAACATTCTTTTCAAGTGGCCATGGAACATATGTCAAGATAGAATAGATTCTAGACCATAAACAAACCCCAATACATTTAAAGGAATTGAAATCAGATGGAGTGTATTCTACAACCACAAAGGAATCAAAGTAGAATTCAGTAACAGAAAGGTAGCAGGACAATCTGTTGGAAACGAAACACTTGGAAACCAATAATTCATTCACTTATCAATAATTCATGAGCCAAAGAATCTCAAAGAAATCTAAAAGTATATATTAAACAGAATGAGAACAAAAATACAATATATGAAAACATATGAGATACAGTCAAAGTAATAAGAAAAAGCAGATTCACGGCTCTGAATGCACACATTAGAAAAAGACGAAAAGTCTGAAATCAATCATCAAAGCTCCCACCTCAAGAACCAGAAGAGTGACCTACAACCAAAGCAGGCAGAAGAAAGAAAAACAGAGCAGAAATCAATGAAATTGAAAACAAAAAAGAAATAGGGAAAAATCAATTAAACAAGCTGGTTCCTTGAAAAGACCAATAAAATTGACAAATATATAACAAGACTGACAAAAACAAAAACAAACAAACAAACAAAAAACCAAACAAATAAAAAAGAAAAAACACAAATTACTAATATCAGGAATAAAGCAGGAAATATCACTACAAATCTTGCAGACATAAAACACTAATAATGCAATACTACAAACAACTCCACACACAAAAGGTTGACTACTTATATGAAATGAAAAAATTCTTCAAAAAACACAACCAAAATTTATTCATTATGAAATACAGTATGATTAGCCCTATAACTGACAAGGAAACCATTTTTAAAATATATTTTGATTACAAAGAGGAAGGGCAAGATACATAGAAACATCAATGATAAGAAAGAATTATTGATTGGCTGTCTCTTTTATGGCCCCGACTGAGGATTGGGCCCTCAACACAGGCATGTGACCTGACCAGAATGGAACCTCAACCTCCTGGTTCATAGGTCAACCCTGAATCACTGAGCTGAGCTGGCCAAGCAGGAAAACATTTTCTTATTTTAAAATTCCCCAAAATGGAATCTTTTGACCCAGGGGTTTTTATCAAACATTGAAAGAATTAATATTGGTTTTAAAATGTCTTTTCCAGAAAAACTAAAGAGGAGGGAATACTTCTAAATTCTTTTGATAACGCTAGAATTACCCTGATACCAAAACCAAACAAAAAAGTAACAAAAAAGAAAACTACAGACCAATGTCTGTCATTAATGTAGATTTAAAATACTAGCAAATAGAATATATCAATGTATAAAAAGAATTTTAAACCATGATCAAGTATAAGACTAGCTCAAATATTGACCATAAATCAATGTAATCCACCATATCGACCTGATAAATAAGAAAAATAAACAGTTCAATTGATGCAGAAAAAATGACAAAATTCAAGACCATTCATGTTAAAATCTCTCAGAAAAAATAGAAACAGAGGAGAACTTCCTCAACTTGATAAAGAGCACCTACAAAAAACCTATAACTATTATGATACTTAATGGTGAAACTGAAATGCTTTCCCCCAAGATCCAGAACGAAGCAAGGCTGCCTGTCCTCACCACTATTATTCAACATAGTGCTGAAAGTTAAAACCAATGTAATGAGGCAAAAAAGGGAAATAAAAGGATACAGATTGGAAAAGATAAAATAAAAATGTCTCTATTCATAGATAACATGATTCTCTAGGTATAAAATTCCAAAAAATCTACACACAAAATAGTATTTCCAGAAATAGTAAGTCAGTTGAACAAGGTCATCTAATGCATGATAATCATATAAAAGTCTACTGTATTTCTATATACTAGAAATTAAAAATATAATACTGTAATTAAAAATATAACACCATGAACAATACCTCAAAAATTGAAATGCTTACATGTAAATCTAACAAAATATAAGGCACATTTATATGCTGAAAATAATGAAACACTCAGGAAGTAACACAAGGAAAATCTAAATAAATGGTGATACATATCCAGGTGTCAATTCTCCCCAAATTGATACACGGCTTTAACACAATTCCTATGAAAATCACAGCAAGACTTTTTGATAGATATAAACAAGATTAGCCAGAAATTTATATAGAAAAGCAATTTGAAAAAGAAGAATACAATTGAAGGAAAGGGTCTACTTAATCTCAAGACTTATTACAAAGATATAGTAATTGAGACTGTATGGTGTTGGTGAAAGAATAGACACATAGATCAATGGAACAGAGCAGAGAATCCAGAAATAGACTCACACAAATATGCCGAACTAATTTTTTACAAAGGTACAAACCAATTCAATGAAAGAAGCATAGACTTTCCAACAAATGGTGCTGAAGCAATTGGACAACCGTAGGTTAAAAACTGAACTTTGACCTAAGCCTTACACAAAAATAAACTTTACATAAAAATACAGTAAGACAAAATGGATCACAGATTTGAATTTATAACATAATGCAAAACATTTTTTTCCTAAAAAACAGCACAAAATCTTTGGAATCTAACGTTAGAACAGGGATTTGCAACCAGTGTGCTGCAGGAGTTTCTAAAACATGCAATACCCAACTATTTAGTCAGGGGCACTGACCTCTTTTCCCTTAGATTGTCAAATAAAAAATGACAATAGCTAACACAACAATAGCTGTCCGGTATTATGAATCAAAGTTACACATATTTTTGTCAGATCGGCAAAATATATATTAATATGTTTTTGGTGGTTGCAGAATTTTAGCAATTAGTTTATGTGTACCATTAGATGAAAAAGACTGAAAATTGTTGGGTAACAGAAAGACATTTGCCATAATAAACTGAACCCATAGAAGGAAAAATGGATAAATTGGACTTCATCAAAGATTTAAAACTTTTACTCTGAGAAACATCAGGTAAAGAGATAAATGACAAGTCAGGGAGTGGGAGAAAATATTTGCAAACCACCTATCCAACAAAGAACTATTATCTAGCATATATATGTATATGTATATATATATATATATATATTAATCTCAAAACAACAGTAAAATGGGCAAATGACATAAGCATTTTACCCAAGAGGTTATGGCACAGAGGGTAAATGAACACATGCAAAGATGAACATCATTACCCACTAGGGAAATGCAAATTAAGACCACAGTGAGATGTCCCTACAGAATGGCTAAAATACAAAAAAAAAAAAGGAAATGATAATACCAAATGCTGGTAAGGATGCAGAGAAACTGTAATCCTCATACACAGCCAACTCTGGAAAATAAGTTTCTTAAAAAAGTACACATACACTTTATGGGCATTATGGGCAATTGCACTCTTGGACATTCTCTCCTAGAGAAACAAAGACTTATGGTCACATAAAAATCTATATATGGATGTTTATAGCAGATTTATTCATAATAACACCAAACTGGAAACAACCCAGATGTCCTTCAACAGGTGCATGGTTAAAGTACAGAACATCAATATCATAGAATACTATTTAGCAATAAAAAGAATGAAATATTAATATATACAACAACTTGGACAAATTTCCACTTTCTTCATTTGTCCCAAGGGGGAGATTGTCTCAAGGGCCTTCCATTTCGGGAATTCAAGATACAGATGATCAGGGTAGGACAGGATGAGAAGGTATTTGAAAGAGCTAGAGCTTTAAAATTTTTAATGTAAAAATTTTAGAACTTTTAGAGACTCAAGAACAAACATAAAGAAATGCTTCTTGGGAATTCAATAGAGCCCATTTTAGAAGGTGAGAAAGAAGTTTAGGGAAGGTACATTCAGTTGGTACAAACCAAGAGCTCTGCTAGTTGTAGTGAATGACTTTAAGGAGAGCGGTTGTGGCCTTTTTATTTTATTATTATTATTTTTTTTACTTTTTTTTATATATATATTTTATTGATTTTTGTACAGAGAGGAAGGGAGAGAGATAGCTAGAAACATCAATGAGAGAGAGTCATCGATCAGCTGCCTCTTGCACACCCCCTACTGGGGATATGCCCGCAACCAAGGTACATGCCCTTGACGGGAATCGAACCCGGGGCCCTTCAGTCCCCAAGCCGACGCTCTATCCACTGAGCCAAACTGGTCCCGGCGGTTGTGGCCTTTTTAAAGTGAGATGGGACAGGGTGGATTTGAGACCGAAAGTGAAAGGACTCTCTGTTTCCAGAAATGTAAGAAAATGCCTTTGTTCTAATACACAAACTTAATGGTTCGCTGGTCAAGAGACCTGAAAAATTGGAAAAAGCCACATTGCCTCCTGGACATTAGGAGTTACAGGAAGTCCCATGGCAGAGCACCTTCAGTTGTTGGTCTAATATTTGTTATGTAATTCTCAAACACGACAAATGTCTGCATTGTGTTTAAGCTTGGAAATAAAGTCGGGAGTAGGAGTCTATGAAAAAATTCTACAAGCCCAGTTGCTGCGTAAAACCCGCAAAGGCAGAATCCCGCACGAAACCTGCGAAGGTTGGATCTTACCGGCCTCGTTTCAAACCGAGCTCCGAAGCGGAAACACCTGTTGCTATGGTGTCTAATAGGGGCAGGTCTAGGGCCCCAACAGCCAATCCCAGTGCCAGCGTCTTGGGGGCGTGGCCATGTTGAGACAGTGGCCAATGGCAGAGAGGACAATGAATAGTGGGCGGGCAACCCGGGTCTTAAACGAACAGAGCAGCCCGCCACTGGAGACCGTTGGAGGTTGGACGGTTAGAGCCGTTGGACTGAACCTGAGCGGGTCCTCTCTCGGCACCAAACTTCGGTTCTCGCCGACCGAACGGTAACCACCATGGAAGATCTGCAGCTTGAGTATCAGCGGCTCAAACGTCGCCACCTCCGCGAGAGAAAAGAGCTGCAGGATCGCATCGTGGCCATGAAGAATTCGGTCCCGAAGAACGACAAGAAGAAACGAAAGCAGTTGCTCCTCGACGTGGCCCGCCTCGAGGCTGAAATGGAGCAGAAACATCAGCAGGAGCTGGAGATGTTCACAGAGCGTCCCCCTGCCGATAGCGACATCGATTCTGTCGCCGCGGGCCTGGCCAAGATGGATCTTGAGAACCAGCCTCCTTGCCTCTCGAGAGCCCAGCGAAGGCGCGAAAGAAGGGCGGCGCTCCAGAGAGAGCGCCAGAAAATGGCGGCCGCCGACGCCGAGGAGGTGGGGTACCTGGCCGCCTGTCGCCGCGATGAGGAGGAGAAGCTGGCGGTCATCCTGGGGGCCAGGAACCTGGAGCTGAAGGAGATCCCGGCCGACAGCCACTGCCTGTACCGCGCCATCCAAGACCAGCTGCCGTTCTCTGTGACCCTGGAGAGCCTGCGGAGCCGCACGGCCGCCTACATGAAGAAGCACGTCGACGACTTCCTGCCCTTCTTCAGCGACCCCGAAACCGGCGATGTCTACACCCGCGACGACTTCTTCAGCTACTGCGACCGCATCGTGCGCAGCGCTTCGTGGGGAGGCCAGCTCGAGCTGAGGGCCCTGTCGCACGTCCTGCAGCGCCCTATCGAGGTGATCCAGACGGAGTCGCCCGTCCTCCTCGTCGGGGAGGAGTACACCAAGAAGCCGCTCACCCTCGTCTACAGGCGCTACACGTCCAGCTTAGGCGGGGAGCACTACAGCTCGGTGAAGCCACTGGAAGCCGAAGCCGGCGCCGTGGGGGGCTTCTCCCCGCGGTTCCTGTAGGCCGTCGCCTATGCCGCTGCCGCCTGAGCCGCCGCCTGGTCTCCTCGGTAGGCTCTGTTGTTTCCTTTGCCTTGCTCTGGTTTTTCTGTTCTTGGTTTTATTCAAAATTGAACCGCTTTTCCCCCTGGTTGTTCTTCCTCCTCCCCCTTTTCCTCGGTGCCTCCTTCGCAGGGTGGGGAACAGGGACTCGGTACAGGGAACGGGGTCTGTATTGTACCGCTTGAGGGGCGTCCTGTTTGAAAGTTCCAACCACATCTTGCCCTTAAGGGGTTTTGCCTCCCTGGCCGAGGAGAATTGGTTATATTATAAATAATTTGGGGGTTAAAATGGCAACTGGGTTTGATGGCGTTCTTAACTTAGCTCAGAATCTTCAGATTGTCCACGAATATACTGGATTACTTCGATAAACTTGGTGTTTATGTACTCGAAATGTCTTGTGAATGCCTTTTGCCTAGTTCTTGGGGGGGGGGGGGGGCGTTGTATCGTGGGCTGTTAGGGGTTACTTTTTTCCAAATTACTGTACATGTTGACCTATCTTTTGTCTCCAACTGTAAGTTTCAGTAATTTTGAAAGTGCTTCAGGTTGTCTACATATGTATTACCATTCACTACTGACATTTGAGATCATCTCCTTTAAGAAGACTTCTATCAATTCCCCGGAGAGGCTTCACTCCTGGGTGTTTCTGTCAAGCCCTGTGTGTATCACCATAACATGTGTTGTTTCTCTCCCTCAGGGAGTTGGTAGAGCCTTTGGAGCAGAGTATGCATATTTATATCCCAGCAGCTAGCACAGTGGCTGGCACATAATAGGTTCTCAATAAACGTTTCGTTGAATCAAATGCCTCCTGCTTGCTTATGGAGAATCAAGTCTGCACTCTTCTGGCTGACTGTATGTACATCCTCCCTAAGGTAGGCCAGCCTACTGATTAAATCTTGCTTCTTTTTACTTATTAGCACAAGTCTGGTACATGTCCATTTCCTCTTTTGTTCTTCAGTAGGTCTTTTTTTTCCCCCTCTTTTGTAATATAGCTTAGCGGTTGGGCTCTGGAAATTAGATTCAATGGAGTTGGGTCCAAATCCCAGTATAAGGGAAGACTGTTAGACCAGTTACTTTAACGTCTCTAAACCACAATTTCTCACCTGTAAAACAAAGACATATATAACAACTATTCTTAGGGCACTTGTGAAGATTGAGAAAATCCATGTAAACTAGACTAGTCTCCTGGCAGGAAGTGAGTACTCAGAGAAGGCTAGGTATTATTATTATGCAACTTTATTCATTTAACATTGAGTCCCTACCTAACATGCTATAAATAAAGACATATAAACCACTCTCCTTGGCTTCAAGCAGTTCTCAGTCTAGTGAGAGACAGCTGTGAATAAAGAAAATCATAGTCCAATACTAACATAGGGAGCAGAATAAAGTGTTGTAACAGTTAAGAGGAGGGTGTTTCACCTGCAGGTAAAAGCTAGGAAATGCTTCCTGGAGGAAGTGTTCCTTGAGTCAAATCCTAGGTAACTACCCTGTTCCCCCGAAAATAAGACAGTGTCTTATATTAATTTTTGCTCCCAAAGATGCGCTAGGTCTTATTTTCAGGGGATGTCTTATTTTTCCATGAAGAAGAATACGGTACACATTTATTGTTAAATGAAAATAAAGGAAATTTATTACCTATATACCGTACGGTATACCACATTTCTCAGAGTTGGCTATAGAAGAATTTAAATCTTTCATTTAATGCGAGCATTATTATATTGGAGTTTTTCCTTTCATGGCTTAATGAAAACTTGACACTACCAGGTAAATTCAAATATCAAAAATACTTTGTAAAGATAGTTTGAACACTTATGGATTAAGTAATTATTCCATAAAGTTTTGGCAAATTACACTATACACAATTTGATCTCATCTGGTGTTATTGCTGGCATTACAAATACAAATGACAGTAGAATGTTACTCAAGGTAAAACAGCAGTAGATCCACTAAAGCCAACCAAAGAATGCCTCAACTGCCAGCTAAGCACCTCAATTCAGATGGGCAGGAAAAGGACTACTTTAACATTTCTTTCATGAATCAGACAATTATCCAAGATAACAAATCTGTGTTAAGATCCTTACGGAACAAAAGAACATCTATCATCTCTACCAGTGAACTCACATCAGGAAATATTTGAAAGGTCATCTCATTTCCATGGTCATGAGTAGATTAAAATGGCTTCTACATTCTGGACTCTAGTTTTTTCCCATCCAAACTCACTCTAAATACTGTTGCCCAGTTTATCTTAGCTGTGCTACCTTGGGCAAGTCACTTAACTTCTCAGGGTATGTTTCCTCAACTGCTAAAGGAGGAGGTTGTGCCAGATGAGTGCTTTTTATATTGTTACTTAGAGCCCTTGAGTCCCTCAGACACCCAGCCTTGGTGTTGTGGGTGCCACTAAGAGGTTAGGGAAAAGATGGGCTGAGTTGGCATGGCAGGGGTATCCATCTCTAGCACAGCAGCCCTTTTGAAATCATGGCCTGTCTAAAACTTGGTTTGGAAAAAGAGTTCTGCTACAACAAAAAGTTTTAAGTACAATTATGCTTACACTAGAGGCCTGATGCACGAAATTCGTGCAAGAGTAGACCTTCCTTCCCCCCCCACCCCCCCCCACCCCCCCCCCACCCCTCCCCCCCCCCCCCCCCCCCCCCCCCCCCCCCCCCCCCCCCCCCGCTCTGGGCACTGGCTTCCCTCCAACACCGAGGACCCGGGCTTCCCTCCGGCTGTTGGCAGGCACCTGGGACCCAGGTTTTTCCTTTGCAGGCCTGGCTTCCTCCAGAAGGATGTCCAGTCTAATTAGCATATTATGCTTTATTATTATAGATGATTTCTAATGGTCCTTCCAGTTCTTCTAAATTAAGATTTTATAAAAACCTATATAGCCCTAGCTTTTTTTGGCTCAGTGGATAGAAAATCAGCCTGTCCTGGGTTCGATTCTAGTCAAGGGCACATGCCTGGATTGTGGGCTGGATCTCCAGTGTGGGGTATGCAGGAGGCAGCCGATCATTGATTCTCTCTCATCATTGATGTTTCTCTCTCTCTCTCCTTTTCATTTCCTCTCTGAAATTAATAAAAATATATTTAAAATTTTAAAAAATTTTCTATACACAATAGGGATTTAATGTGAAAGTGTTTACATACAGAAACACAATAAACAACTAATGTATATTATTTTTTACTTATTAATCTTGGTATCTCAAAATAAGATGCAATGCTTATAATGACAATTTAATATGTACTCTGAAAGTAATTGGCAACTTCCATAAAGACTGTCATTTTGGAAGCCATAAGAAAAAAATGGTTCACAAAGTTCAGGACCAAATTCAAATCCTGCCTTTTTTTTCTCTCTTAGACAACAGTAAAGCTATACCTTAATCCAAGCAAATGCACATGAACAAATTTTCTTTAGTCTCACAATTACTGAGCTTCCAAGTCTCCTCTACAAGTACTACCTTATTACTCTGTATTCCTGCCCAAGGCTGACCCTAAAAGTTAAATTTATTAGAGTTATTAGAAGTGCCAGACAAATAAAACACTAGATAATTTGCCAGTCTCCCTTCCTCTCAGCTAAAGTGAGGGGTCTCAAGGGGAGGTTTATTAGAATCATCTGGGAAGCTTTTCCAACCTATAGTTAGGTCCCATTCTCCTCTCACTCTTGCAAAGCATTGTTTTAGCCAAGGACTCCATTCTGCCTTACATAAAAGGCCCTGTCCATCTTTCCCCCCCCCCCCCATTGATTTCAGAGAGGAAGGGAGAGATAGACACATCAATGATGAGAGAATCATCAATTTGCTTCTTCCTGCACGTCCCCCACTGGGGGTCAAGCGTGCAACCTTGGGCATGTGCCCTAGCCAGAATTGAACCTGGGACCCTTCAGTCCAAAAGCCGACGCTCTATCCACTGAGCCAAACCGGCTAGGGCTGTTCATCTTTTTAAATCCAGCTCAATTTAAGATTGATGGAGTAAAAACAATTGAATTTGGAAGACACTGGCTTTGTCACAACTAGCTGGGCAAGTCACTTAACCTTTCTGGTGTCAGTTTTTCCTCTGATTTTTGAGGTCCCCTTCCAACTTTGAAATTCTATGATAGCATATCATGTCTAAGAAGCTTTCTGAATTCTTAGCATACAATGACTTGTCACTTCTTAGTTTTCTAACAGCCTGTGCAATGTTACATATCACCTAGTTATATACTGTCCTATATTGCCCTCTAGTTGTTTTTACATGAAAATTTTTTCTTTTCAACTATATTTAGTTTAAAACCTTATTTTCCAGGTTGTCTCCTAGGACAACTCGGGTTGTATCCTAAGGTAACCAGTATATATTTATAATGATTTGTTCAAAGCAATGACACCCCCAAATTATTTTTTTACATCAGCACTGTCCAGTAGAAATATAATGTAAGCCACAAATGTGAGCCCAACATGTAAATTTAAGTTTTCTAGTAGACACGTGAAAAGACAAGTGAAATTCATTTTAATACATTTAACCCAATTTATATAAAATAACAGCATTTCAACAACATAGCCAGTGTAAAAATTACTGATATATTCTTGTTTAGTAATAACTTTTCAAACTCCGGTGTCTGTGTCACAGTTACAACACATCTCAAAAACAGACTTTAAAGTACTCAATAATCCCATGTGGCTAGTGGCTATGTATTGACACTGAGCACTTACTTCCTAAGTACCCACTGGGCTAGCCAGAGGGTAGCAAAAATGAATGACTCGTTCTAGAGATGGATATACACCGATCTGTAGATGCACAGAACTGTGCTTGGCTGGGGCGGGGGTTGGGGGGTATCCAGGAAGGTTTCACAGAGGAAACCTTTTGAAACGCAGTGTTTGGGAGGAAGGGTGACCTGAGGCGGAAGTGGGCGACAGAGGATTGGGTGGGAGGATCCTGGAGCTCCAGCTGTGCGCAGCCCCGCCCCTCGCCGGGCGGGTCGGCGCGCGGCAGCCCGGCTCCGGGCAGCGCGCCGCTCGCGCTCAGTACTCAGCCTCGCGAGAGCCGCGTCTCTGCGCCCACGGAGCTTCCCAGCTCAGCCTCCGCGAGGAGGAGCCAATCAACAGGGCTGAGCGTTTTGCTCGAGCGCTTGTTTCTCTCCGAGGCCTCCTACGAGGAACGACAGCCTGGTCCAATGAGCCCGTGGCAACGGTTGCCAGGGCAGCCGACAGCTGGTTCCGAAGGTTCTCGGGCGCTTAGGCAACAATGGGACCGCTGGCCCGAAGGAGCGCCCCTTCCGGTTTCGTAGGCTTCCCCGGAGCCCCGCAGCTGTGTCTAACCCCGGAAATGAGGTCTTCCGGGTTTCGCCCTCCCTCAAGATGGCTGCGGCCGAAGAAGAAGAGTTACCGCTGCCCCGGCTACCCGAGCTGTTTGATATCAGCCGACAGCTTCTGGACGAAGTGGAAGTAGCGACGGAGCCCACCGGCTCCCGGGAAGTCCAAGAGAAGGTCTCGAAAGGACTCCAGCACCTTAAGCAGGCCGCCGAAATGTTAGCGCAGCTCGACTTGTTCAGGTATGGGGAGAGGGTAATAGCTGACAACGTAGGTAATAATGGTTACCAGCGGTGGAGCCATTGGGCCTGGGTGGAAGAGACTAAGACTAAGGGCCTTTCGTGCCTACCTCCCTATATTGTTTCTCCTCTACATTGTTTACAGTCGCCACCTCTCTTCCCAAGTAGTCAATGTCCCACGATTTTGTTTCATAGTATATGCTGTTGGCGGGTGTGAGCGCTCAGCCACTTGGAAGAAACCAGGCCACTGTTCCCCTGCCTCCTCCCTTTGCCTCATTCCCACCCCAACCTTTCCCATCCTCAGGAAGCGAGGGCCATAGTTTTAATGCCCAACCAGGCTTCACAGCCTCCTCTTTGCTTTTTCCAGCCGAAATGAAGATTTGGAAGAGATTGCTTCCACCGACCTGAAGTACCTGATGGTGCCAGCATTTCAAGGAGCCCTCGCCATGAAACAAGGCAACTCCAGCAAGCGCTTAGATCATTTGCAATGGGCTCGAGAACACTTTTTAAACTACTTATCTCAGTGCCAGCACTATCACGTGGCAGAGTTTGAGTTGCCCAAAACCAAGAACAACTCAGCTGAAAATAACACAGCTAGTTCCTCCATGGCCCAACCTAGCCTCGTTGCTATGGCATCTCAAAGACAGGCTAAAATAGAGAGGTGGGTCAGTAATTATAATTTGAAAACTGCCCAATGGCAAGTGCTGTTGCAGAGGGTGCATGTTTTTTTGTTTGTTTTTTTGGGGGGAGCGGGTGGACAATGATATATGTCACTCTTTTCATTTTTATTGAGCATAGGCACTGGTGATAGCAAACTCTACTGAGTTTTTCAAGAACCCTCTACCTTTGTTGAGATGATCATTCCTAACCATTGGACTCCTTATGGTTGCCAGCAACAGCAATGTAGTTTAGCAGATTGTCTCCCAGTCTCTCCCAGATCACAACATGGTAATATTTGTATAGGACTGTGGGGCAAATATCTCTGAAGGGCACAATATCTTGTACTTGTAGTCCATTTACAATCCGTTGATTGAGAATTTGTTCTAACAGTACTGGATCCGGTGTGTAATATCCTGAACTAATCTTATCCCTGGCATAGCTTCATCGTGTAACCTTGAACAAGTTGCTTGCTCTCAGTTTAGTTTTTTTTTTTTTTTTTTTAACGTATTTAAAGAATGCTCACAGTGTCTAGGAACTATGCATACAGTCTGGTGAGGAAAAAAGGCATAGAAACAGTATCAACATAAAATGATGTGATAGAAAGATGTACAAGGTACCATGAGAGCAGACTGGAGAGGCACCTACGGGAACCAAAGAGAAAGCAAAAAGAGGAGAAGGCTCCCTGGAACAGGTTACTCGTATGATGAGTTGTTTAAGGATGAATAGGAATATTATCTAGAAGATGAAAGGAGGGCATTAGGCAGCACAGATAGCATTACTAAGATATAGGGGCATTAAAGAGCTGAGCCAGGTTGGAGGTGTGTATAACTGTAATCAATTAGGTGGTGTTAGAATGCAAAGAGGGTTGTGGATAGGGGGAAGGAATGATGCTCAAGAATGGAGCATTCAGACTTAGGGGAGCTTGGAGTGTGAGGAAGTTGAAGGTACAACCTCAATCAATGATTAATGGAACAATAATGAGGGAATGTGTGGTCTTCACCCTGGTGCCATTTGTCATACCCTGAGGGGTCCAGACAAAAGGAAGTTACAAGTTACCCTGACATTCTACAGTTATATTATCTTAGATGCAGAAAGACAAGAGATTTAGTAAAGAGTTGATCTTTGTCAGAGAAGATACTGGCCTAGGACATGACTACCCACTATAAGCTGCTTTTTAATTAAGAAGTTTTAATTTCAGACCATCCTTTGTAGTTACTTTAGGTCTCTTAGTTTGCAAGGCTGTCATGCAGGCTTTCTCTGAATTAGTCAGATTAGTGAGTGGCCCCTTTTCATTCACACAGCTTTGTGAGAAAGAACAGGGAGGGCTCAGATCTGGTTGGAGCGATTGGGAAGGTTTCAGAAGGTAACAGCATTTGCCACAAGCTTTGAAGGATGGTTACAAATAGAGATTACAGGTTTTCCTGAATGTAAAGATAATACCCATAGTAGAAAGTTGGAAAAATAGAGAATATTTTTTAAATTAAAGTAATCCTTAATCCTAACACTCAGAGATGAATTTTGTTAACTTTCTGAATGTTTCCTTTTAGATATGATGTAGTTATTTTAGTTAATAAATTTGGAATAATAACTGTATATATAGTTTTTCATCTTTTCTAACCTAACATTATGTTGTGATCATTTCCCTGTGTCTTTTGAAACCATGATATTTAATGGCTACATAACATTTCAGCCCATAGACATACCATAAGTATTTAAACTAATCTTTTATTGTCAAATACTTAGACTGTTTATGGTTTGGGCTTTTATTTTTGATATTCTAAATAATGTTAAGAACAAACACCTGTTATTATTTTATATGTTTTTATTAATTTTAGAGAAAGAGAAAGGGAGGGGGGGAGAAACATTGATAAGCTGCCTTTTGCGTGCACCCTACTGGGGATTAAGCCCAGAATCAAATCAGCAACCTCTTGGTGCATGGGTCATCACTCAAGCACTGAGCCATACTGGCCAGGCCAAACATATATTTTTTAAAACTTTTTAATTTTTCCATCACCATTTATCTCCTCTGTGCCCTCTTCCACCTCCAGCCCCCACTCTCTACCCGCTTAACCTCACATCCCCCTCTCCTGCCATCACCATACTTGTCCATGTCCATGAATTCTCTTTTTTTTCTTTTTTGCTCAAGCATCTTTAACTACATCTGTCACACAAATATTTATTGTTAGGATAGATTTCTAGAAGAACCAGTGACTAGATCAAAGGTTTTAAATATTTTAAGACTCTTTTTAAAAGTATTTTTAATTGATTTCAGAGAGGAAGGGAGAGGGAGAGGGAGATGGATACATCAATGATGAGAGAGAATTATTGATCAAATGCCTCCTGTATGATGGGGATCAAGCTCGCAGCTTGGGCATATGCCCTGACCAGGAATTAAACAATGACCTCCCGGTTCATAGGTCAATGCTCAACCACTGAGCCATGCCTGGATATTTTAAGACTCTTGCTGGTAACAGTGTGTTGCTTTCCACAATAACAAATTGCAGAGTGTGTCCCACTGCACTGATATTGGACGTTAACACTTGGAAAATCCAACTGGGCAAATAAAAGTATTTCATTGTTTTGATTTGCATTTCTTTAGCTAGAAAGCTTGATCTTTGAACATTTTTTATACATGCCTGACAGATGAGATATCAACATGTTCTACTTTCAGACTCATACTTCCAACATCCTACATCAGTGATTTTCAACCTTTTTCATCTCGTGGCATACATAAAATAATTATTAAAATTCTGCGACACATCAAAAAATATACTTTTTGCGGATCTGACAAAAAAAATGTCTAATTTTGATTCGTTCACACCAGGTGGCTATTGTTGTATTGGCTATTGTCTAATTTTTTTATTTCACAATCTAAGGGAAAAGATGTCAGTACTCCTGACTAAATAGTCAGGTATTTCATGTTTTAAAAATTATTGAAGCACATCAATTGAAAATCTCTGTCCTACATGAATGTTTCATAGACATCTCAAACTTAACATGCTCTTAATTGAACCCTTGGCTGCTTAACCTGCAAATATCCCCCCACACCCAAGACTTAACCATCTTAATAGTTTTAACATCATTCACCAGGTGTTTAATCCAAAAACCTAGAAATTAACTTCAGTTCGTCCCTTCTAAATATCCACCTCCAGTCAGTCTTCAAGGCCTGCCAATTCTACCTATCATGTCCTGCTTCTCTCCATCTCCATTATCTCATACCTTAGTCTAGACCACCAGTATCTCTCACCTGAAATAACCAAGCCACTAACAGCTACAAGGCCCTGCATGATCTGGTGCCTGCCTCTCTCCAATCTCATTGTGTATCACACTCCTTTTGCTCAGTAGCCTTTCATTCTTTGAACAGTCCCAGCTCCTTCTAAAGAGTCTTTGTTCATGTTGTCTTTGCATGGAATGCTCTTCATTGATTTGTCTTTCTACCCTGTTAGAATGTATGCTCCAGGAGATCAGGGGCCATTTCTCTTGTTCACTGTGGTATGTTGACTACAGAGTCTGCCATAGAAGGTGCTCCAGAAATATTTGTTGTTAACAAGTAGGAGGAACAACATGAGCAAAAGCCCAAGGCAATTTGAAGTATGTACAAGGAATGGAGAGTAGTCTGATTTGGCAGAAGCTCAGAGGTCTTCATACGAAAGTGATGTATATAGAATATGGAAATGGAAGAGAGAGGCAGAAAGAAAAGTTAACATGCTGTAGTAGTACTTAAACCTGGAAGAGGTAATAAAAATGAAGTTACAGCTATCAGAGACATTACTTTTGCAAGAAGCATTTCCATGAATAGAAAAATTGTTCAGATCCTTAGTTACTTTTTGTAGGTCCTCCCTCCCTTACCCCACAACTTTACATACTGAGGCCATGCTACATAAAACACCTCTCTCTCTCAAACCCTTTTTCTTCACGTATTCTCTCTATTCTAATGTCCCTCAGCCCAGCCTGCACCCTCTCCAATCTTGGATCCCTCTCACAATCCAGGACTGCTGGCTCCCAACTGCTTGCTTGCCTGTTTTCCTGATTGCCCCTAACTGCTGCTACCTGCCATCCTGATCACCCCCTAACCACTCCCCTGCCAGCCTGTTTGCCCCTGCAGGCCTGTTCCCCCCAAATGCTCTCCCCTGCAGGCCTGGGTCCCTCCCAATTGCCCTTCCCTGCAAATCAGCTGGTCCCCACCCATGCACCAGGCCTCTATCCAGCTGGTCGCCCCCAACTTCCCTACACTGCCAGCCTGGTCACCCCTAATTACCCTCCCCTGCAGGCTTGATCACCTCCAACTGCCCTCCCTTGCAGGCCCGGTCCCTCCCCTGCTGGCTATCTTATGGTGGCCATTTTGTATCCATAGGAGAGCAGCCATCTTTGACCACATGGGGGCAGCCATCTTGTATGTTGGAGTGATGTTCAATTTGCATATTACTCTTTTTAAAAAAAAATATATTTTATTGATTTTGTACAGAGAGGAAGGGAGAGAGATAGAGAGCTAGAAACATCGATGAGAGAGAGTCATCGATCAGCTGCCTCTTGCACACCCCCTACTGGGGATATGCCCGCAGCCAAGGTACATGCCCTTGACCGGAATCAAACCTGGGTCCCTTCAGTCCCCAAGCCGACGCTCTATCCATTGAGCCAAACCAGTCTCGGCTGCATATTACTCTTATGAGATAGGATAGAGGCCTGGTGCATGGGTGGGGGCCAGCTGATTTGCCCTGAAGGGTGTCCCAGATCAGGGTGGGGGTTCCTTTGGGGAGTGGGGTGGCCTGGGTGAGGGGCCTCTGATGGTTTGCAGGCCAGTCATGACCCCTGACAACCCAAGTGGAGGCCCTAGTATCTGGGATTTATTTATCTTCTATAATGGAAACTTTGTAACCTTGAGCAGAGGGCAGAGCAGGCCAGGGCGAGTGAGAAGCTTGCCTTCCTCCATTGCCAGGGGCAACTCAAGCCACCTGCTCTCGCCAGCTCCATGGCTGCTGCCATTTTTGTTGGCATTGATATATCTTCTATAATTGAAACTTTGTAGCCTTGAGTGGAGTCTAGGGCTGGCCAGGGTGTGCAGAAAGCTTGGCTTCCTCCATTGCTAGGGAAGCCCAAGCCTCCTGTTCACTCTGTAACCACAACCATCTTAGTTGGGTTAATTTGCATACTTACTCCTGATTGGCTGGTGGGCGTAGCAGAGGTATGGTCAATTTGAACATTACTCTTTTATTAGATAAGATATTATTCTCTAGACTTGAAATTCCTAAATGTCAGAGTCTGACTATTTGTATCTTTTGTATCCCAATTGTATCACTGTATTCTTGGTGCCCAGTAACTGGATTGTAGTAAGTACTGGAGTTGTCTTTGGGAGAGACAGAGTGGTCTTTACAAAGATGGAAGCAATGTGGTATAGCAGAAAAAGCCTGGGCTGTTTAGTCCGACAAACCTGGGGTGACCAACTTCTACCACTTAATTGGTTGGGCATCATCTAGCCCTTCCTAGACTCAAATTTTTTTATTAGCTAACAATATTCATATTACATTGCTGTTTACAAAGCACGTACATGTGTGTTGTTTCATTTGATCCTCTCTTAACGACTCCACAAAGCAAATATCCCCATGTTAGAGATAAGGAATTTGGCTCTGAGAATTGACATGTCCAAGTTACATAGCTATTAAGTGTAGGCTAGGATTTAAACCTAGGTCTTCAACTTCCCAGTTCTGGTGCCATTTCCACTATAGCATAGAACAAAGAGATAGAATATGTTTGGGGGAAGGTGTGTCTAGGAAAGGGGAAAGGCACCAGTAGAGTGAAAAATTGTAACTGCTAATGATGGAGGGTAATTGATAGAGTGAGGCCTGGAAGAATGTGGGTGGGGGTAGGATTTGTAGCAAGAGTGAAATGGTAAAGAGATGGCCTTGACTCCTAAAGATAGCATTAGCCCCTTATGGATGAGAGGAAAGGTGAAGCTACAGAGATTTTTTAAAACTATGTTTATATTGATTTCAGAGAGGAAGGGAAAGGGGGAGAGAGAGATAGAAGCATCAATGATGAGAGCAAATCTTTGATCAGCTGCCTCCTGCACAGCCCCCACTGGGGATCGAGCCTGCAACCTGGGCATATGCCCTGACCTGAAATCAAACCATGATATCCTGGTTCATGGGCCGATGCTCAACTACTGAGCCACACCGGGTGGGCAAGAGATTTTAAGGTAAAAAGGGAAGTTGATTGCAGGCCATCTGGTGTGATGGTGGCACGGGATCCACAAAAGATGAACAAAAGGATAGCTGACAAATTTATAATTCATTAGCTCTCTTCAGCAGCTTGGGAACTGGAAAAGGGAACAGTGCAAGTTGTCCAGAGTCAAAAGGGTGATAGGCATTGGGGTTCCTAGGGTGATAAGGGGGTGTATTCATGTAATGGCTTACTATTACAAGAAAAGTGCATGTCTGTAGAATTCTATATAAAATTTTAGAATCTTCTGCTGACCACTGGTGGTCAGTGAGGTCCAAAAGGTTGGCAAACGCTAGTCTAGAGTCCACACACACAGCCAGAGTGATCTATATAAAAGTTTTCATGTCACTCTATTCCTGTCCTGTATTCTATCCAAAAGCCTTCAGTGGCTTTTCCATCTCACTTGAAATATCATGGCATTTGATATGCTGGGTCTTATTCCCTACAGGATTCTGCAAATTATGGCCCTGCCTATGTATCTGACCCTATTTCCTGTCATTCTTCACTTGACACTAGCGCATTGGCCTCCTTGTTATTTCTCAAACATGTTTGGCCAGTTACTCTTCTAGCCAGGACCTTTCGATTTACTTTTCCCCCTTAGAACAAATACTCAGAGGGAACCAAAGTTTTGCCACCATGAAGCTGCCTTTTTGAGATATTGATTTTAAGCTGTTTATTAAGAAACAAGACTTAGAACCTTTGACCCTCCCTTTCCTGCCCAAGAGATTCAGACAGAGATCTTAGGATGCAGCTTTAGCCCTATTTAAATTAAGTGTGGTAAATCAGAGGGCTTCCGGCAGGCTCTTGTTAGTTAGATACCCCGTGTCCCATTGTCTCTGAGTCACCTAGCAAGAACTTACTTGCTATGCCATGTTCCACTCTTCCTGAACTATCAGTAAATCGCCCATTCTCACTTCTGAAATCTAATACCCCAACCCCACTCCTTTCTCCTTTGTCCAAAATTGTCTTATATACCCAATGTTGCCTCACTGTCTTTTGAAATTTACACTTATGTGAGTTCCCCATGTGCATGTATTAAAACTTGATTTTCTCCTGAAAAAACAACAACACCCTTCCAGATATTGACATGGCTTGCTTACCAATTTCTTTGAAATCTTTGCTCAAATGTCATTTCTTCAGAGAGGTCTCTCCTGATCATCTTGTATATAATAGCACCCCTACCTTCACACCATCGGTCTATCCATTATACTTTGCTTCTTCATAGCACTTACCTCCACCTGACTCCTCTTCTATTTCTTTTTGTCTTCTCCCACTAGAATGAAAGCTTCAGTAGAGTAAGGACTTGTATACACAGCTGTATCTCCAGTACTGAGAACATTGCCTGTCATACAATAGGTTCTCAGTAAATATTTTTTTAAATGAATGATAGATGAGAGTGCATCCTCAGAAAGGTGGGCAAGGTGATTATAAGACTTTAAATTTTATTTAGATGCATCAGAAGAGCTGGGAATGTTTTGCTCAGCAAAAAAGAAAAGATCATTTCTTTAGGCTGTTTCACAGGAATTTCTACATCAGTGGCAGGTAAATGACCCCTAAGATTCTATGATTCTTTGAAGTTGTAATTCCCAAGTGGATATTATGTGGTACTAAACACCCAACCTAGTAAAGGTTGATATAAAATGATTAAGGCACTCTTATCTCTAAAGAGGATGGGAGGAGTTGCTCAAATCAAGTTATATCTGTACTTCTCTGGCGTCAGATGTATTTCTCAGCTGTTGCTGATCCCTTCCTTGCCTTATAGTCTTGAGAGAACTGTTGGCAAGTTCTGAAGTATAGAATCTATACTGTTGCCAAAGTGGAAATTGGCGTGCTGACTTCCTGGTCACTTGCAAAGGTAAAATCTTACTGTGGCCTTCTTTTGAAGGAAAACCTCTTTGTTTTTAAGTTCACCGGTAATGCTTTCCTGTGGAACAGATACAAGCAGAAGAAGGAGATGGAGCATAGGTTGTCTGAAATGAAATCTGCTGTGGAAAGTGGTGAAGCAGATGATGAGCATGTTCGTGAGTATTACCTCCTTCACCTTCGAAGGTGGATTGGTATCTGCTTAGAAGAGATTGAGAGCATTGACCAGGAGATAAATATCCTGAGAGGAAAAGACTCTTCAAAAGAGGTAAGTCTGTTCACTGCTATATAATTTTTAAAAACTGCTATCAGAGATTTGAATGTTCTATAGGACAATAATCAATTTAAACGCTTTTAAGTCTTCATAAAATCATTGTTGTTATTAAGTTCAGTGGAAAAAGGCTGAAGGTTCACTAGGGTAGCTTTCTCTCTGGTTTACAGTTTCGTTCCCCAGTGCCTACTAACCCGTAACACACTTTTAGTCATTTATAATTTTGTGACATGCCTCAGGGGAGGGAGATTTCCCTGAAGTAAAAATTGGTTTTGGCTATGGAAAAGTCATATCTGCTGAAGGAGGCATAGGGAGATCAGCTTTTAAAATCTGGTTGACTATAATAAACAAAGGGAAAGAGGAATTGGATGGAAATAGAGAAGAAAAATTGAATAAGAGAGAGAGAAAAGAGTAGAAAGGAGATGAATCCCAGTTTAACCATACATAGTGATGCACACTCACCCCTTTTGATCCTAGTATGAGACACAGCAAAATGTTGAGCATACTGATGAAGAACACCTGGTGTCTTACAGCTTTGGCTGTCTTTGAACATCATGATCCTGTTTTGGAGCTGCTGCTTCAAAAGATTAGGCTCTGCTGCCACTTACTTTTTGGTTCTGATATAAGAGAAATTGAGTTGAATTTATCAGCTGGCCACAGGCATTTACTTAAGTCCTCAGAGAAACCTTTTCTTAATTTGATTTGTAGTAATTAGCCCAGGAGCTTTTGCCTCAGGTAATACCAACCTAGTCCCTCATGTTAAAGGATTAAAGAATGAACAATTATGAGGCCCCTTGAGCATATCTAGAGTGGTTTTAAACAGTATGAGACTGGACTCTTCTCGGTCCTCCCCTGCCCCTTACTTTGCTGCTGTTTTTTTCTTTTTCTTTTTAAAAATATATTTTATTGATTTTTTTTTTTTTTACAGAGAGGAAGGGATAAGGTGTTAGAAACATCAATGAGAGAGAAACATCGATCAGCTGCCTCCTGCACACCTCCTACTGAGGATGTGCCCGCATCCAAGGTACATGCTCTTGACCAGAATTGATCCTGGGACCCTTCAGTCTGCAGGCCGACACTATCCACTGAGCCAAACCAGTTAGGGCTGTTTTTTTTCTTTTTGCATGCTCTCTCGTTTAGTATTGAGATTGGCTCTGGGAGTGATGGAGCTTGAACCAAGTGAATGCCTTTTCATTGACCAGGTTTTGTTTCTTTGTGCACCTGGATAGCCAGGGTTCCTTGAAGCATTTCTATATAGCTATACATGAAAACTGCCAACCCATTCTCCCCCTTGCATTTAGGAGTATCCACTTCTAAAGTACCCTAAGGGGTTCTTGACGGTTAATAGCATAATTACTGGGTCATAATTGAACTTTAGCACTAAAGGCCAGGCTAAGGAAAGGAACTTAAAATTTATCTCAAGGGATTAAAATGGATCATTCAAAAAGCCTTTGCCATCTCCTTTGGAGGGGGGACATTTTATTTTATTTTCTATTTTTTTAATATATTTTATTGATTTTTTTACAGAGAGGAAGGGAGAGAGATAGTTAGGAACATCAATGAGAGAGAGTCATCGATCAGCTGCCTCTTGCACACCCGCTACTGGGGATGTGCCCGCAACCAGGGAACATGCCTTTGACTGGAATTGAACCCAGGACCTTTCAGTCACCAGGCCGAAGCTCTATCCACTGAGTCAAACTGGTTTCAGCTGGAGGGGTGACATTTTAAAGCCAAACAATTTTTTACTTGTGGTGAGATGATTCCTGAGTGAGCTTTCTCTTTCTCTCTCTTCAGCAAGGTACTCGGGTGTCCTCAAGAAAACTAAGCAACCTCCATCATTAATATCTGCTGATATGTTTCAGAGACTGATATGCAGGGAATAACTGAATTTTGAACCCAGGGCTTTCGAGCACCTGAAGACCTTAGAGACTGCACAGTGGGGTGGGCAAAGGCAAATACACTTCTGATAGTTAATTTCCTTTTTAGGCATCAACTTCTCACTCATCTCGCCCGTCCAGGCCTCCCATGAAACCCTTCATTCTCACTCGGGATGCAGCCCAAGCCAAGTAGGTAGTACTAAAACGTGGGGTGCCTTTGCAAGCCCCTTGCTTTTGTGGTTCATTTGCAGTGCATGGTGCCAAGCAGAATAGGCATTATTAAGAGGGTATAGCTTTGCCTTAGAGGCTATTCTTTCATCAAAGGGATGTTATGTCTTCTAATAATTTCTGTCTTTGGCCTTCAGCAGACATTTCCCTCACAAACCTGACCTTAAAAGGATCTCCAAAGGAAACCAATAAAAATAATCTGTTAATTAATTAAAAACAAGAAAGGAATCGAATAGAGAATTGTACACTTTAAAATTTTTTCCCATTGCCTTCAGCTACAGTTCTCAAAACGACATGTTTGCCTATCTGAGTTCTTGAGATGCTTTCCCATAGGTGCGGGAGAGTCTGCATACCTTTTAGACTCACCAAGTATAAGTACCCTTTTCATAGTATCATCACTGCTCTGTGGGGCATTGGCCTCTGGAATTGCTTATTGGGAGATTATCCTGGGCCCGTGGTCGGCAAACTGCAGTTCAGGAGCCACATGCGGCTCTCTGGCCCTTTGAATGTGGCTCTTCCACAAAATACCACAGCCTGGGTGAGTTAGAAGTTCAAGTTTAAAAAATGTGGCTCTCAAAAGAAATTTCAATCATTGTACTGTTGATATTTGGCTCTGTTTACTAATGAGTTTGCCGACCACTGGCCTGGGCTATTTGTCATCTCATGAAAGACTTCAGTGCCCCTTCCTAGATGCCTCTTTTTACATATCCTCACAGGAGTTTGCACAACTCCTCAGAAGATGCCTGGTTAGGGGAGGGAGGATAAAACAGACATAGGTTTTGCCACTAAAGAGAAGAGGCTTTTTAAAATGCTATTTATGTTTAGTTTTCTAAATACAATGTGATTTTTGCAGAGTATTTGGAGCTGGTTATCCAAGTCTGGCAACCATGACAGTGAATGACTGGTATGAGCAGCATCGGAAGTTGGGAGCTTTACCAGATCGGGGAATAGCCAGAACAACGTCAGGTATGAAGGGCTGGGAGGAAAGTAGTTACAGTATGGTTCCTTATTCTCCAGCAATGAAAATTCTGACCAAGTATTGCTATCCTTTAGGAGCAGAAGTAATCTGGACAAAGATTCTGAGTAACATAAAGATTCTAGGCAGTATTTTATTTCATTTAATAGTAAAATAAATAGCCAAGATTCTCGCAGTATCAGGGCAGTGGAGAAGTATAGGTTTTGAACCTCTGCGAATATTATTATGGCATAAAGACAAACTGAGCAATAAGATAGTAAAACCAAAAATCCACTGATAGCAGTTCCGCTTCTGGTATTAGCAGAACAGGTTGTATTAGTCCAACACCTCCTATAGTTAACAGTTACAAACTGGAAAAGTTATAACGAAAGAACTATGTAAAGGCACTGGAGAGTGACCAAAAGCAGGCATAGACTGGAGGTCAGTCAACACTTATAAGATAAGAGTGGTACATAGAACTTCTTGAGGGCAGGAATTTTGACTTACTGTATTTTTGGTGCCCAAATTGGTAATTAGATAATAGAGATACTTGAAGGTGTCTTTGGGAGGGAAAGGTGAAGGGTGGTCATTAGATAGATGAAAGCGATATGGTTTTAGCAGAAAAAACACAGACAGAGCTTAGTTAACCAATTACTCCTATTGCTCCTATACCCCTCTGAGCCTATTACTCCTATGCCCCTCTAGGCCTCTGTTTCCTTATCTCATGTATTATCTCATTTCGTCTTAACCCATAAAGCAGACATTTTAACCACGTTTTAATATGAGGAAATGGTGTCTGAGAACTGACATATGCAAAGTCAACATAGCTAAAAAGTGGCTAGGTTAGGATTTTAATTCAGGCCTTAATATTCCAAATTCTAGGGCTGTTTTAATTATAGCACAAAGGAAAGAAAAGTAGTCAATTTGAAAGGCTTTTCTGTGTGTTTTTTTTATGGCTTTTCACCCATGGACTGGCTGCAGATGCTGTGATGAGAGTAGGTAAAACTTGGATAGAAACTTAGTCTTTTTTAAAAATATATATATATTTTATTGATTTTTAAATTTTTTTTTTACAGAGAGGAGGGGAGAGGGATAAAGTTAGAAATATCGATGAGAGAGAAAAACATCGATCAGCTGCCTCTTGCAAACCGCCTACTTGGGATGTGCCCACAACCAAGGTACATGCCCTTGACCAGAATCGAACCTGGGACCCTTTAGTCCACAGGCCAACGCTCTATCCACTGAGCCAAACCAGTTAGGGCAAACTTACAGTCTTTTTTGGTTGTGCAATGGGAGAATTGAGTTCGGGTGACTATAGGAACTGAAAGGTAAGAAGAATATCCCAGAAATATAACTGAAAGGTAAGATGAATATCTAATTCTCTACATAAACCTGCCCACATCTCTGGCTGACTCAAGCTTCACATGCATAGGATAAATTCCAAGCACCCTAGGGAGGGTCTACAATAACTGAATGGAAAAAGCAGCTACTGCCCAATGCAGAGGAAATGAATTTGGAATTTGGTTTTAAATACATTAACTTCCTGCTAAAATGAAAAATCAATACTCTTTAGTGGAATGAAACATTTATTTTCATGCATATTTTCTGAGGGTGAGGATTCCAGGAGCAACTTACCTAGTTGGCTCTTGATTAGGTTCTCCTGAGGTTGTCAGCTGGGGCTGCAGTCTTCTGAAAGCTTGACTCAGTCTGGAAGATCTTCTTCCAGCTCATTCACTCATCCATGTGACTGTTGGCAAGAAGCCTTCCCATGTGAGAGTCTCAGGTTTGCTCACAGCTTCATTTCCTCAGTGAATGATTCAAGAGGAAACAACCAAGTTTCTTTTTTAAAAGCATTTTTTTATTTGTTTTGTTAATTCTCACCTGAGGATATTATTTCCATGGCTTTTTAGAGAAAGAGGGAAGGAGGGAGGGAGGAACATCAGTTGGCTGCCTCCTGCAGCCCCCTACTGAGGATCAAGTCCATAACTAGGGAATGTGCCCTGACCAGGAATCAAACGAACCAGCAACATTGTGGGACATGGAACAATACCCAACCAACTGAGACAGTGGTTAGCAAACTGTGGCTCGCAAGCCACATGCGGCTCTTTTGCCCCTTGAGTGTGGCTCTTCCACAAAAAAACACATGCAGGCACACACAGTGCGATTGAAACTTTGTGGCCCATGCGCAGCAGTTGGTTTTCTGCACTCAGAATAAATTTCAATCGTTGTACTGTTGATATTTGGCTCTGTTGACTAATGAGTTTGCCAACCACTGAACTGAGCCATACTGGCCAGGGTGAGAATCCTCATCTTTTAAAACCTAATGTTGGAAGTTGCAAACCATGACTTCTGCCACATTCCATTGGTCGCCAACCCCAATACAGTGTGAATGGATTACATAAGAGCATGAATACCTGGGGTCAGTCTTTGAGGCTGTCTCATGGTATAATATTAATGACAGGTAGACAGGGAGGTTAGTGATGATTGTATTTTTTAGAGCAGTAATTTTCAACTAGTGTGCCACAAGAATTTTAAGACATGCAATACCTGACTAGTCAGGGGCACTGACCTCTTTTCCCTTAGATTGTCAAATAAAGAATGACAATAACCAACACAACAATAGCCATCCTGTGTAAATGAATCAAAGTTATACATGCCTGGTCAGTGTGGCTCAGTGGTTGAGCATCAACTTATGAACCAGGAAGTCATGGTTTGATTACCAGTCAGGTTACATGCCCGGGTTGTGGGCTCCATCTCCAGTGCAGGAGGCAGCCAATTGATGAGTCTCTCTCATCATGGATGTTTCTATCACCTTCTCCCTTCCTCTCTAAAATCAATAAAAATATTTTTAAAAAGAAAAAATATATATATACTCATTTTTATCAGATCAGCAAAACATAACATTCTAGTGTACCACAGAATTTTAGTAATTAGTTTATGTGTGCCACAAAAATGAAAAGGTTGAAAATTACTGCCTTAGATCAACCCTTAAATAATGCATCAAGAAAATATGAAGACAAGCTCTAGACTAGTGGAAATTATTTGCAAAAGACCCAACTGATAAAAGACTGTTAATCCAAACTGTAGAAAGAATTCTTAAACTCAACAATAAGGAAATGAACACCCCAATTTAAAACAATGGGCAAAATACCTGAACAGGCACCTCCCCAAAGAAAATATACAGGAATAAATAAGCCCATGAAAAGTTACTCAACATCATGTATCATTAGGGAATTGCAAAGTAAAACAACAGTGATAACACTACACTCCTATAAAGATGACTGAAATCCAAAACACTGAGAACAGCAGATGTTGGTAAAGGTATGGAGTAACAGGGATTCTTTTTGTTAAATATATTTTTATTGATTTCAGAGAGGAAGGGAGAGGGAGAGAAAGAGAGAGAGAAACATCAATGAGAAAGAATCACTAATTGACTGTCTCCCGCACGCCCCCCACTGAGGATCAAGCCACAACAGGGATTCTTATCCAGTGTTGGTGGAAATGCAAAATGGTACAACCACTTTAGAAGACAGTTTCTTAGCTTCTTACAAAACTAACCATACTCATTTCAAATAGTCCAGTAATTATGCTCCTTGAAAACATGTCCAGGCAAAAACCTGCACACAAAGGGTTATGGCAGTTCTACTGATAATTGCCAAAACTTGGAAAACAACCAAAATGTCCTCAGTGGGAGAATGGATAAACTGAGTGGTACATCCAGAGAGTGAAATAGTAGTATTCATTGCTTTAAAAAAAAAAAAAAAAAAAGAAGAAGCTATTCATAAAAATACATGGAAGAAGCTTAAACGCACATTAACATGCAAAAGGAGCCAATCTGAAAAGGCTACATACTATATGATTCCACCTATATGATATTCTGGAAAAGGCAAAACATATATATATATATAAAAGGCTAATATGCAAAGTGTCCCCCAGGAGTTCAGCCAGGAGACTGGGAGTTAGATTGCTCACTATAATGTGTGCTGACCACTGGGGGTGATGCAGAACGAAGGAAGGCCCCAATCAGCCCTGATCCCTGGCCAGGCCTAGAGACCCTACCCATGCATGAATTTTGTGCACCAGGCATCTAGTGGAGGCAATAAAAGGACCAGTGGTTGTCAAGAGCTAGAGGATAAGGAGATATGAAGATGTGGAGCACAGAGGAGATTTAGGGCAGTGTATCTGTATGATACTATATAGGTGGATACATGTATGATACTATAATGGTGGATACATGTCATACATTTGTTCAAACCCATAGAATGAACAATACCAAGAGTGAACTCTAATGTAAACTAGGGACTTTGGGTGATGATGTCAATCTAAGTTCATCTGTTGTGACAAATGTATTATCACTCTGATCAGGATATTTATGGTGGGGAGGCAGGAGTATATGGGAATACTGTGTATTTTCCATTCAATTTTGCTGTGAACCTAAAATTTTTACATTTTTAAAAGGCAGCCTTTTTATTGTTTTATTCATAAGTATTTTTTATTGTTCAAACTATTACATATAGTAGTACATATATATCCTTTATCTCCCCATTGACATTCCGCCAGCCTCCCCTACCCACTGTCTCATGCCCTCACCCCACCCCCACTCACCAGTGTCTTGTGTCCATTGGCTGTGCTTATATGAATGAATACAAGCCCTTCGGTTGATCTCTTTCCCCTTTTCCCCAACACTCCCCAGCCTACCTGCTGTAATTTGACAGTCTGTGATGCTTTACTGCCTCTGTATCTATCTTTTTGTTCATCAGGTTGTAGTGTTCTTTATTTTCTATAAATGTGTGAGATCATGTGGTATTTTTCTTTCATGGACTGGCTTATTTCACTTAACATAATGCTTTCCAATCCATCCATGCTGCTGCAAATGGTAAGATTTCCTTCTTTTTTATAGCAGCATAGTATTCCATTGTGTAGATGTACCATAGTTTTCTGATCCAGTCATCTGATGATGGGCACTTAGGCTGTTTCCAAATCTTAGCTATGGTGAATTGTGCCGCTATGAACACGGGGATGCATGTGTCCTTTCTGGTTGGTGTTTCTAGTTTCTTGGAATATATTCCTAGAAGTGGGATTACTGGGTCTAATGGGAGTTCCATTTTTAGTTTTTTGGGGAAACTATACTGTCCTCCACAATGGATGCACCAGTCTGCATTCCCAACAGCAGTGCACGAGAGTTCCTTTTTCTCAACACCCTCTCCAGCACTTGTCGTTTGTTGATTTCTTGATAATTGCCATTCTGACAGGTGTGAGATGGTACCGCATTGTCGTTTTGATTTGCATCTCTCAGATAATTAGTGACTCTGAGTGTGTTTTCATGTGTCTCTTGGCCTTCTATTTTTTTCCCCAAAAAAGTTTCTATTTAGGTCTGTTGCCCATTTTTTTTATTGGATCATTTATCTTCCTTTTATTAAGTTGTATGAGTCCCCTGTAAATGTTGGAGAGTAAACCTTTATCAGTGATAACATTTGCTTGTATGTTCTTCCATACAGTGGGCTTTCTTGTTGTTTTGTTGATTGTTAATTTTGCTGTGCAAAAGCTTTTTATTTTGATGTAGTCCCATTTGTTTATTTTCTCTTGAATTTCCATTGCCCTAGGACTGTGGTTGGCAAACTGTGGCTTGAGAGCCACATGCGGCTTTGTCCTCTTGAGTATGGCTCTTCCACAAAATTCCACAGCCTGGGCAAGTCTATTTTGAAAAACTGGTGTTAGAAGAAATTTAAGTTTACTAAAAAATTTGACTCTCAAAACAAATTTCAATCGTAGTGTTGATATTTAGCTCTGTTGACTAATGAGTTTGCCGACCACTGCCCTTAGGAGCAGTATCAGTGAATAAATTGCTTCGGTGTATGTCTGAGATTTCGCTGCCTATGGATTCCTCTAGTATTTTTATGGTTTCCCATTTATAAGTCCTTTATCCATTTTGAGTTTATCTTTATTATGGTGTAAATTGGTGGTCTAGTTTCATTTTTTTGCACGTATCTCTTCCAATTTTCCCAACACTATTTACTAAAGAGACTGTCTTGACTCCATTGTATGTTCATGCCTCCTTTGTCAAATATTAATGGAGCATAGTGGTTTGGGTCGATATCTGGGTTCTCTATTCCATTGGTCTATACGTCTGTTCTTGTGCCAGTACCAGGCTGTTTTGAGAATAGTGGCTTTGTAATATAGCTTAAAATCTGATATTGAGATACCACCTATTTTGTTCTTCTTTCTCAGGATTGCTCTAGCTATTCGGGGTCTTTTTTTTATTTCAGATGAATTTTTGGAGAACTCTTTCTAGGTCTATGAATTATGCCATTGCTATTTTAATGGGGAGTGCGTTGAATCTATAAATTGCTTTGGGTAGTATGAACATTTTAAATTATGTTGATTCTACCAATCCGTGAACATGGTATGTTCTTCTATCTGTTTATGTCTTCCTCTATCTCTTTTTTCAGTGTCCTGTAGTTTTCCACGTATAGGTCTTTTACCTCCTTAGTTAAGTTTATTCCAAGGTATCTTAACTTTTTTGGTACGATGGTAAATGGGATTGCCTTCTTAGTCTCTGTAAGTTCACTAGTGGTGTAAAGAAATGCCATAGATTTCTTGGCATTAATTTTGTAACCTGCTTCATTGCCGAATTCATTTATTAAGTTTAATAGTTTTTTGATGGAGTCTTTAAGGGTTTTTATGTACAGTATCATGTCATCTGCAGATAAGGACAGTTTTACTTCTTTTCCAATTTGGATGCCTTTTATTTCTTCTTCTTGTCTAACTGCAATAGCTAATACTTCCAGTACTATGTCGAACAGGAGTGGTGAGAGTGGGCATCCCTGTCTTATTCCTGTTCTTAGGGGAAATGGTTTAGTTTTTTGTCCATTGAGTATGATGTTGGCTGTGGGTTTGTCATATATGGCTTTTATGCTGTTGAGATATGATCCTTCTATCCCCACCTTGTTGAGAGTTTTTATCAAGAAAAGGTGTTGGATTTTGTCAAATGCTTTTTCAGCATCAATTGATATGACTGTGTCATTTTAATCTCTCAATTTGTTTATGTGATGTATCATTTTTATTGATTTGCGGATATTGTACCTTGCATTTCTGATATAAATTCTACTTGGTCATGGTGTTTGATCTTTCTGATGTACTGTTGGAGCCGATTTGCTAGAATTTTGTTGAGGATTTTGGCATCTATGTTCATGAGGGATATTGGCCTGTAATTCTCTTTCATTGTGTTGTCTTTTTATCTAGTTTTGGTATTAGGTTGATGCTGGCTTCATAGAAAGAACTTGGAAGTGTTCCTTCCTCTTGAATTTTTTGGAATAATCTGAGGAGGATAGGTTTTAGTTCTTTCTTGAATGTTTGGTAAAACTCTCCTGTGAAGCTGCCTGGTCCCGGGCTTTTGTGTGCTGGAAGCTTTTTGATGACTGCTTCAATTTATTCCATAGTTATTGGCCTATTGGGTTGTTTATATTCTTCCTGATTCAGTTTTGGAAGGTTGTATTTTTTTGAGAATATGTCCATTTCCTCTTGGTTGTCCAGTTTGTTGGAATAGAGTTGTTTGTAGTATTTTGTAACAATCCTTTGTATTTCAGCGAATTCTGTTGTTTTATCATCTCTTTCATTTCTGATTTTGCTATTTGGGTCTTCTCTCTTTGCTTCTTCATGAGCCTGACTAGAGGGTCATCAATCTTGTTTATCCTTTTCAGAGAACCAACTCTTGGTTTTGTTGATCTTTTGTATTGTTTTTTTTTTTTAATCTCTATATCATTTATCTCCACTCTGATTTTTATTATTTTCTTCCTTCTGCTTATACTAGGCTTTTCTTGCTGCTCTCTTTCTCTTTGAGTTGTAGGGTTAGGTAGTTTATTACCATTGTTTCTTGTTTTCTTGCAGTAGGCTTGTAGAGCTATGAACTTGCCTCTCACGACAGCTTTCGCTGTGTCCCATAGATTTTGGATTGTTGTGTTTTTATTTTCTTTTGTTGCCATGTTTTTAATTTCTACTTTGATCTCTCTGGTAACCCAGTCATTGTTTAATAGCATGCTATTTAGTATTTCTGTGTTGGATTTTTTGGATTGTTTTTATTGTAGTTGATTTCTAGTTTTATGCCATTGTGATATGAGAAAATGCTTGATATGATTTCTATCTTCTTAAATTTGAAGAGACTTTGCCTGTGACCCAATATATGGTCTATCTTTGAAAATGACCCATGTGCACTTGAGAAGAATGTATAAAATGTGGCTTTGGGGTAAAATGTTCTGAAATGTCAATTAATTCCATCTGGTCTAGTGAGTCATTTAGGATTGTTGTTTTTTTGCTGATTTTTTATTTAGAGGATTTGTCAAATGATGATAGTGGGGTATTAAAGTCTCCTACTATGATTGTATTGCTGTCAATCTCTCCCTTGATAGTTTCCAAGGAGTTTTTTTTTTTGTTTGTTTGTTTGTTTTTATGTATTTGGGTGCTCCTTTATTGGGTGCATGTATGTTTACCAGTTATTTCTTCTTGATGGATTTCTCCCTTTAGTATTATGAAGTAGCCTTCCTTACCTCTTTTTATGTCCTTCACTTTGAGATCTAATTTGTCATATATAAATATGGTTCACCTGCACTTCGGATCCACACCAGGAGGGAGGAGGCAGCCCGATTCCTCATGGAATTGGCCATGCCTTAGCTTGCTGCTGGGGCCCTGACAGCCCCGAATCTGGTTCACCTGCACCCCAGACCCAGACAGGAGAGAGGAAGGAGCTCGATTCCTCGCAGAATTGGCTACTGGTTAGCTTGCTGCTGGGGCCAACCTCCCATGGTTCCTCCCCCGCAGCTGGCCACCCCTTCGCCCCCCCATTGGCTCTGTTGGGGGGGGGGGGGGTCTGGTCAGCCAACCTCCTGTGGTTCCTCCCCCGGCCAGCCAGGCCCCCTAATTGGCCCTGATGGTAGGCCAGGCCGAGAGACCCCACCTGTGCACGAATTTGTGCACCAGGCCTCTAGTAAGTATATAAGTTCTGTGATTTATCTCTTTTTATCCCCAAACCCTAC